AGAAATGGGGCGTTCTGTGACATCCAACTACAATTCTCTTCTCTATTTTTTTGCCTTCAGAAATGAAATTAATAGTTATTATTGTACTGTTACTTGTTCTGACACTCTGTTTTGACTCTCCTGCTGTTATTCCTATTTGACTGCTGCTATTTTTGCCAAATGATTGCTAGATTTATTTTTAAGACTGTAATTGCGTGAACTGTTTTGAAATCTCTTTCTTTTTTGTAAAACTACATTGGGGGCAGTTATGGTGGAAGGATGGTCCATAAATACAGCAAGTAAAATAATCATCAATAATGTCTTTCATTATAAAATGTAGCCAGCACAGTTATTCACTTTTCTGGTAAAATTCAAAAGGATATGGATTGAGGGGTGTGTATTTATAAAACAAAGATAACTACATTCTCTTAAGCAAAATATCCATCTGGGACCAAAAATAATAAAAAAAATATGGCAAAATCACTGAAAAGTTATGTCCAGCAAAATTGATTCATGTGACTTATTAGACATCCCAACAACAGCATATCCATATTTATATCTCAAAATTAAGAAGAAATTAAACATTCCACCCCACATTCAAGAATTCATGCATGGTGGATAAGATTTCTGGCAAGTGACCCAGTTGACAATTAATCAAGGGCAACATGGAGCTAGGCATTTCCCCTTTTAGTGGACTATTTCACAAATGTGGAAACTTTTAGATTGCAACTCTCCATCTCAGTTGGCTGGAGCCGACAGGAATTGCAGCCCAAAACATCTGGAGGGCACTATGCTGGGGAAGGTTGTCAGGCTATTGCAAGAACGGATGCAGCCAAGAGCTACAGATAGAAAGTACCAGTTACAGATAGGTAGCCGTGTTGGTCTGCCATAGTCAAAACAAAAAAAATTCCTTCCAGTAGCACCTTAAAGACCAACTAAGTTAGTTCTTGGTATGAGCTTTCGTGTGCATGCACACTTCTTCAGATACGATAGTACTTTGCTTTGGAAGCAAAGTGGGCTTCAAGAGCACATAATTAATTACACTGGAGCTAGAGAATGTTCAAAGCATGGATGGAAATGGGAGAAGATAGGTAGAGCATGACTCCTTGGGGAGGGAGTATGGAGATATGAGCATGCCACCTTTGCCCCATCTGTACCAATACTTCTTCAGATTTACTGTTCTCTCAGCCCTCCATCTGCTATGCTTAATTGTGGCAATGCATGCAAGTGCTCTGGTCATTTATATTTAAGGCAACTTAATGTCAAGTATTATTATTATTATTATTATTATTATTATTATTATTATTATTATATCACATTTCTATTCCACAATGGAGATAAAGATGGTTTACATGGTGTTCCTGGGTGTTCTCCCATCCCGGCACAGACCAAACCCAGACCTGATAAGCGTCCTTTCAACATGCCTTTTCCCTTGATGTTAATAAGGTCCCACTTCGTTAGAATGGATCACCTTCATAGTTTTCCATTGCCAAGCAAGGGCTTGATCTCCCACATAGGATGCTTATTGTATCTTTTTAAATTCACATTTCTTTTTCCTCCATGGTTCCCAACTATAAACCCATCATCTCAAGACAGCATTAGACAAATGCCGCAGCAGCATTATGCACTCCAAAGCATTTTAACAGGTGTACATATTTTTAACAAGCAAGAATCACTCCCCTCATAATCTCCCTCTGCATGCTGAAGATGGAGAAAAGCTATTGGGTGTCAGAAGGCAGAACTGCTCAGCTAAACAGCTACTTTGCTTCTGTCTCCACCCAAAATGAAGGCAGTGCCCAACCTGGCAATAATAGAATAAATGATGCAAGGTGGGGGCTGCAGCCCAAGACAGAAAAAAGGTGGTAAGGAAACATCTAGCTGCCTTATATGAATTTAAATCTCCAGGACCTGATGAGATGCACCCAAGGGTACTAAAGGTGCTTGCACATGTAATCTCAGAACCTCTGGTTTATAACATTTGAGAATTCTAGGAGAAAAGGTGAGGTCCCTGCAGGGGGGGGGAGTTGTCCCCATCTTCAAAAGGGAGAGGAAGAAGTCCCAGATAACTACCAACTAGTGAGCTTATTGATAGAAGGAAAGGTCCTAGAACAGCTTATTAAATAATTGATCTGTGAGCACTTAGAAAAGGAGGATGTGATTATTAAAACCCAGCATGGGTTTCTCAAAAACAAGTCAGGCCCGACAAATATCATTTCTTTATTTGATAGAGTTACAAGCTGTGAATGTGGTATATCTTGATTTCAGTAAGGCTCTTGACAAAGTCCCCCATGATATTCTTGTGGAGAAACTGGTAAAATATAGACTGGACAAGGTAACTTTTAAGTGAATTTGTAGCTGGCTGAGTGTCTGAATCCAAAGAGTGCTTACTAGTTATTCGTTGTTATCCTGGAAAACAGGGACAAGTTGAGTATTGTAGGATTCTGTCCTGGGTCCGTTTTTGTTCAATGTCTATCTAAATGAGTTGGGTGAAAGAACTGAGGCGATGCTGATCCAAATTGCAGATGACACTAAACTGGGAGGGGTAGCTAATGCTGCTGAAGAAAGAAACAGGATGCAATATGACCTTAACAGATTGGAGAACTGGGCTAAAATGAACAAAATAAATTTCAGTAGGGACATACGTCATCTTCTGCACTTAGGCAGGAATAACCAGCTGCACAAAGATAAGATGGAGGACACCTGGCTTGCCAGTAGTACATGTGAAAAGGATCTGGAGGTCTTAGTAGACCACACGTTTAACATGAGTCTACAGTGTGATGCAGCAGCAAAAAAAGCAAATGCTATTCTAGACTGCTTCAACAGAAGTCTAGTGTCTTGATGAAGAGAAGTAATAGTACCACTTTATTCTGCCTTGGTCCGACCACATCAGCTATGAAAAGCCACCTCACAGGAGGAGAAAGATCTGGAATAACTGAAGATGACACCAGCTCGAAAGAGAACCTGGAAGGAGAACTTTCAAGGGAATTGATGAGAAACCCAGCTTTTGCTGGACTCCAGCTCCCAACAGCCCCAGCCAGCATGGCCAGTTGTCAGGGATGACTGGGGATGTAATCCAGCAACATATGAATGCCCACAGGTTTCCTATGTGTTCCAGGGTATGAATACAAAGGGCTGGTGCAATAAAGTTTCTGGGAAGTATCGTGAGGGCCTAATTATATGTTAAGCTGCATTACTCTGATGATGGGCCCCCCTACACCATTGCAAAAAAGAAAGATGAAACAGGAGAAACTTTGCAATAGAGAACAGCAGTTCTTTAACCCTTCTCTTTCCCTGACTTTTCCCATACCGGTTTCATCCCCAACAGGGTTCTAGAGGCAAATGTAGGTAAGAAACACATGAAAGAACAAAAGCAGTGTGGAAAGAGTCCAGGAGAATGGGTACACATTAAATAATGATGCATGGACTGAAGATGCAGGATACGGCAGCCTTGCTGGTCAATGCTTGGATTCCCTGGAAACATAACGCACAACACTGCCCCCAGTTCCACAATGGAAGCAAATTGGGATATAAATGCAATAAATAAGATTAAGACAGGTACCTAAAAAGAAGAGAACAAAAACACCAAGTAGGAACTTCTGATATTTACTGGAGAAAGTTTGGCATGGAAAGTATCTAGGAGAAAGGAGGATGCTATACAAAACAGAGGTTGGAAAAGGGATATTGATGCAACCTAAAGGTACAATATCCTTTATGGATTGCACAGAGAAAGGGAAAGAAGGAACCAGTGAGTTCTGATTTGGCAAAAAAAAAAAAAAAACCAGCTTTCAGCAAAAGATAGGAAGATGAGGAAAAAGAAAAAAAAAATGCAATCTCTTCCACTGTTTCCAGAAATTTGACCTCTACTTTCAGCTTCCTGCTTCACATATCCAGCAAGTCCCACCCAGAAAACAATTAAGTGGAGAAAAGTTATGTTAGAAACCCTTTTGTCAGTTATTTATAATTCACTGAACCTCCACATCCAGGCTGCAAACTCCCATTGCAGCTGCGCTCCACGCATAAAGCTAATTCAATGAATACATGCAAGATCCCCGTAGATGACAAATGCACAGACTTGTTTCACACCATTTCCTACACATAAATGTTTTGTACATGAAATAGCCTTGGGATAAGGGGTGATATTAACTATGGGGGGAAGGAAGTTTTACAAGAACTAGGGCAAAAAGGTGAGAGATATCTTCTTGAAGCAAACTTTCAGAGGTAAAATCTTGGCAAGCCAGTTTGATATGAAAGGTGCAGACGGGTGGTATTGCTAGGAAGAAGTAGGTAGAATTTTATTCTCAGCTGCAAAAATGGGAGGATGTAAAGCCAGAAAACAAACACAGAGATGCACACAAAAAAACCAGTTTGATAATCTTCCCTCCTATTTTCAAATGTGTCACTCTTGGGAAGGGAAACCGTTTAAACATTTTTTTAAAAAAAATAAATCAACTTCATCCTTTTGAAATGGATGCTGTCCTTCATGAGGCAGTGTGGGACAGGTGTGCCAGGAAGTGGAGGAACAACTATGCGCATGTGCTAAGAGCTACACACTTTGGGCTGCACCCAACTAAGTTCCACTCAAAACGTACCCACGGAGATTCAGAGATGACAATGATTTCAATGGGTCTACTTAATACCCACCCAACTTAGTTGGATGCACAGTCGTTTCTTTTAAAAAAAGAAAAAGCTGGTGCTTCCCTTTAGCGGGTGTCGGGAGGAAGTGGAGAAGAACTCTGCATGTGCTCAAAACACACGCGGGACAACAGAATTCGGAGGACGGGGAGTGTTTAAAAGTTGGTCGCCGTAGTCCTACAGGGCAGGGCTTTCATTTATTTTATTTGTTTACCCGCCTACTTATTGCCCTCTCCAGTTTCTATCCCGGCCAATTTGAGAAGGGGAGGCATGCTTGGAGAGGGAGGGAGAAGGGTGCTGACGGGGCGGGGAGGAGAAGGGGAGCTCCTATGGGGTAGAATCCCCCTGTGAGACAGGGGTGGGATTGGAGCCCATTCTCCACCCCTTACCATGGTACAGACGGAGGCGAGTTTTCGGACCGTCACCGGCATTACCATCCACCCGCCATGGTGGTTCCCGCCGTCACTAGAGCACCCGCTGAAGCGCTCCGGGCAGCCACGCGTTCTTCGCCCAAATGGCTCCGGCGTCCCTTCCACAAGTCCGAAATATAAGTTCCGGCGTCCCGTTCCCACCCCCCACCCCGCACCTCCTTGTGGGAACAGGAGAAACTCATCCTGCACCTACTTCGCTGCTTGTATTCAGCCTTTCTATTTCCACTCGCGCCTCCGTTTACAGGCGGACTGATTAGCTATTAAGCCTAAGCCATGGTCCTATATACTGTACAGGGTTGTTTGTTTTTATGTTTCTTATGTTCTTATGTTGTTTCCAACCACTCCCATCAACCACGACCGCTGGCCTTGCAGACTGGGGCTGGTGGGAGCTGAAATCCATCGGCACATGGCGGGCCACAAGTTCCCTCCTCGTGCTAGGTCCTCGCGGTTTTTAAAGGAAGCGATGTATTCGATTTCCCAGTGCACCCACGAAGCTCCCTGGGTGACCGTGGGCCATTCAGTCTTTCTTTGCCTTCCCTTTACAGGCTGGTTGTTTGGGGGGGGGGGGGTTAAAGAAACCCACTTATATACCCAGTCAAATGGGCGATGTATAAATAATAAAATAATTTGTTATTATTATTAACTTTATCTTGAACCCCTTGGAGGAATGACAGAAGAATAAAAAAAAACTGAAGGAACTTTTGCAGTGGATCATTTATGTATGAAGGTTTTCTCTTATATTTCAGCGTACATGGCTTTACAGGTATTTAGGTTGTTCTGCTTAGGCCACTAGCTCCTTTCCTCTTAGCCCCCCAGTTCAATCTGGGCTTCCCCCATCCTATTACCTGAGGACATAATCAGCATTCATCCCCCACCTTCACCTCCATGCTAAACAAGTTTCTTCGGCTGCACTGAAATCAATCTGTCCATCTAAGTTTGCTAAGGAATTGCATTGTAGCCTAGGAGTTCAAATGTGTGTGCATCTGCTCAGACGTAAGCCCCATGGACATTCCTCTGCTGGCTTACTCAGAAGTAAGTCCTTGTTCAGTGGAACTTTCTCCCAAATAAGATTGCAAAAAGCCCTACAGTATAATGGGGCATATTAGTCTGAAGTATATAAAATTGGGGTTGCAACTGTGCACACGATACATTTCCGCATTGTTTTGGAAGTGGGTCACTTTCATTTCTGCAGGGATCACATTTTCATGAGACAATCCCCTTATGAGTGTCTACTCAGAAACAAATCTCAGAGACACTGTTGGCCAAAATAGAAATGAGCCGAAATGGGAATATACTACCCCCTGCCACCATTCCCCCCTCCCCACTTTTACCGCTGCCAGAACACCTCCCTCTCTCCAAACTTGGTGAAAGCGGGTACATTTGCTCTTCTCTGCCCCAGGCACAGAGAAGTTGAGGTGAATCTGTGGGTAGGTTGAGCTTCAAGGGGGGTGGGGGTGGCAAGACCTTTCTGCCCAAATTCAAACTGTTTTTACATGCACTTAAGTAGTGTTGAGAGCAGCTGAGACTCCACGGCCATCACCCCATTTTCCAGGGAGCTTACATGGAGATAGAGACACAAAGTGAGAAGGTACGAAGAACACATGGTGGTGGTGGTGGTGAGAGAAGGAGTAACTGGGAAAAGGCCAGATTCAGATTAAGCTCTGGCTCTCCTCACAGACTCTCCCCTTTCTCAGTCAGCTTCCCCTTCTCTCTGCCTCCTATTCCTTTCCTCCATGTCAGTGCCAGCTGCAAAATCAGCAAGAAGGAACTGTCTCCAAGCACTACAAGGCCACCAGAATCTCAGGGATATGCAACAGCAAGGTGAAGTGGGGGTATCTGCAAATCCTGTTATGTTCTGGTCCACCAGAACATAACAGGGGTGATGACGACAAAGTGTTTCTCCCCTTCATCCTGCCGCCACCTCGGCCAAGTTAAGAAAACCTCAGGGATGGGAGTGGGGAATGAACAGGGATGAGCATAGATGGGACAAGCTATGAGGGGACAGGGAGTGGGGTTGTGGAAACGGCAAGGGGGTGGGAGAAAGGGCTGTGCAAACTCCACAGATGGATACAGTAATGCTTCTGAAAACCAGCTACAAGAAACCACGGGGGGGGTGCTCTTGTGCCCTGCTTAGGATATCTGGTTGGCCACTGTGAGAACAGGATGCTGGACCAGATGGACCAATGGCCTGATCCAGCAGGCTCTTATATTCTTATCTAGGAGGGGAGGGGAGGGTTTCGGGGGTAAGCTGTAAGGGGAGGGCTTTGGGGCGAGGTGTACAGGGAGGGGGTTACCAAAGGTTATGGGGCTTGGGGAGTGTGGCAGGAAGGCAGGGTTGGTGAGCAGGGGTGGCAGGCCCTACTGAGTTTTTAACAGACACAGCACTAGATATCCCCCACTTTCTCTTTGACGCCTAATCCTAGCCACGTTGATATGGAAGATCAACTTAGATGGCTTCAAAATGGAGGATATGATGATCAATGGCTACTAGCCACAATGGGTATGGTGTACCTCCACTTTTGGAGTCAATATACCTCCGACTACCAGTTGCTGGGGAATCACAGGTGCGGAGTGTGATGTTATGCTCTGGACCTGCTTGTGTCTTTCCCATGAGCACCTGGTTGGCCACTATGAGAACAGGTTGCTAGACTAGATGGGACATGGACATGATCCAGCAGGGGGCTGTTCATGTGCTTCAGAGAGTCTCATTGATTGCAGTGAGTCGGGGTTCCTAATAGCATTGCAGCCTTTCTTTAAATATCTGCATTGGTGGAAGGGGGTGGCAGCTGTGGGAGAAGTTTTTCTAGTTGTGTTTGCAGAGCATTTCATCATCATTAGAGTCTGTGTTGCTTTTGGCTGTGGATTTAAAAATGTGTTTTTAGTTATATTTTGCTTGGCACCCAGGCAGCCTCAAGCAACAATAGAACTCCAAAAATAACATTTTATACTGCTTTACACTTGAGGCTCTCAGTGTATTTTTAACAATTGCAATTAAATTGCACTGGAACAAGACTATTGTATTTGCAGAACAGAGCTGCACAGAGGCACAAGCAGGAGAACAGAGAGGCTAAAGGGATTTCTGTTAATCATGTCAGCAAGAACTAGGAGCGGAAATGTTAATCTCTCAGGCCTATCCACGCTTACCTTTCCTCTGCTCTTTCTAGGCACAGTCCACATTTAAAAGCTCCACGTCGGAGTGCTTTTGTTTTTGTATTGTTTTGTTTACCCCACAGCTTTCCCCACAAAAAGCTGCTCTTAAAAGCTCAATTGGAGCAAACAGCAATCCACGGAAAACCCAAACTGCTGTTTGGTTTCACTTCAGTTTAAAGTGTATATTTCCACAGGGAAAGCTGGAGAGGAACCCACATTTGAGCACAGAGAATTAAAGTGTGGTAAGAGTGAGGCAAAAGGTAAATGTGGATAAGTTCATCTTCGTATTCCAGCCACAGGCAATCTGCTTTTCTACTCATTAACAACTAATACTTGGAACACCCTTCAGTTCTATATTGTAGCCCTATCTGGGCATTATAACTCTGCTTAAATAATATGTGTCAGGGAAATGGGGGCAGACACCACCCCCACCATTCATGCATGTATGTCCTGCCCACTGAGCAAATACATTTGAAGGTGGGGGATATAAGACTGGAATTAAATGGAAATTGGAGTTGGTATCACAAGCAACCACAGTTGGGCATCTGTGGATGGTTGCTCCTCAGCAGGGGGCCCACTAACAGTAAGTCCCTTGACCTGCTGCCGTGAAGCAGGTCACTTCTGTGGAAATTTGATTAGATGCACGCAAAATGACCACAGTGGCCATAATTCATGATATCACAATCGTTTTAGCATTGCTGAATAAAAGTGGCACCGTACATTTGAGCCAGCTTACTCCAGCCTGATGCCCTCTAGTTTATGCTGTTGGACTCCAGCTCCCATCAGCATGCAACAATCGGAGGTGATAGGAGTTGCAATCCAACAGCATTTGAATGGTATTGGGTTGAGGAAAGTTCATCTAAGCTCTAACTGAATTGTGAGACTGTGATATTTCCATTTTATTGCCATTTAACTCCATTGTCTACATCCCCCCTAACCCTACATTCATGTGTGCATAATATATCAGAAAACTGCAGATCATAGCGCAACACGAGTTTTAATCCACAGCCATCATAAAATGTGCTAGTTCTTAATGTGCCACAAGACTCTTCGTTGTGTTTTTGAGTTTTCTGCAAGCACAGAGGCTACCAGTCTCATAAGTTTAATAACCTTTGGTTAAATAACCTTTGAACCTTCCATTTTCCAAAAAGACTTTGAAGGGATATTTTTATCCCAATGTGTTGCTACTAGAAATTGTTTTATATGTGATTTTATTGTAAAATCACTTTAGGGTGTTTTATGAGAAGCAATTCATAACTGAATTGAATTGAAATCTAATACTAATGACTAAAAAACTCCCTTCCATCAGGGTATTTCCTATGTTTTTTCAAACATTCCAAACTTGTTACTTGTTTACAATCCTACCACTTAATCAGGGAATGTTCTTTTTTTGGTTTTCACTCTGTGGCTGAAGCCTTAGACAATTCGATTTGATTTGATTTACTTTGTATTTAATAATATTTATGTATCACCTGCCATTAGCAAAGTAATCTCAAAGCAGTTTACAGATATGAGAATTAAAATACATAAAAACAAGTCCAGTTTATAAACAAACAAACAAAATCCCTGAATATCACAGATATCAAAAATTATACAGGGCAATGGGATCAGTACTGATACTTTATCCCTCCTGGGCCAGCAGCTGTGTTACTGAAGCTGCACTCTGCACTTGGGGGGTGTATGTGTGAAGGCTTACTCACTAGCTCTTCTCAAAAGAGGCTACTTGCAGACCTTTTTGCTACGGGTGCAACTCCCGCTATACTTTCCTACTGCCCAGGGATAGTCAATGTAGTGCATTCCCCCCCAAATATTGTTTGATTCCAACTCCTATCAGTCCGAGCCAGCATGCCCAATGGTCAGGGATGATAGGAGATGCAGCCAAACAACATCTAGAGGGCACCTCATTGCCTACCCCTGCTCTATCCTCTGGGTTGGTAACTGGGG